CCCCAAAACCCCAAAACCCCAAAACCCCAAAACCCCAAAACCCCATGACTTGATTTTGGACCTATCAAAGTTTTGATAGGAATTCTTAATGAAAAATATATAAATTTTATATAAAAAAGAAGTTATTAATTTAATACTTAGGGGGTTTTTAAATGATAGCGAATCACAACTAAGTCGAAGAAGAACCAACTTTCGATGATTTTATTCAGATCGGCATGCTTGATATAGACATTAGCTCATACTTTATGAACTGCTACTCGATTCAAGATTATTCTACTAAAACTTAAGTTTTAAGTGGATTATCTCCTTCGAAATTTCAGATTTAAGATGATAAGCAGAAAACAAATCAGAAGAATGATGAAATATTCTAAGAGCAAATTTAAACTATCCAAGAATACAACAATAAGGACTCAACAATTAGTGAATAGAGTTACTTAGAGTCTATTGGCTAGATTAACCCTGAAAACAATTTAATCTCTTAATTTGAAAAATACTAGCTTGATGATTCTTAAAATATGAGATTATCTGGATCTAATTTTCATGCTTCCATATTATCAATCCCCAATAAATCTAATAACCATGAAAGGCTAAAACAAGGATTTAAGACTCAAAAGTCTCAGGATCAAAGTCTTAGACTTTTGAAAAATAAAGATTAGCTTTTAATGCTAGAAAATGAGTATTAAAAGTGTAAAAATTGGGATAAATATCATATGAAAAAGCTAAGTATGTAACTGGGTCTAACAAGAAATTAAATATACAAATGGAAATGGGATAGATAGGCTTAAGAAAAAAATCAATTCGACAGATATATACATAATATCAAGAAATCATCATAATAAGTATTTAAAGTTCTAAAAGACGAAAAACTCGGTCCATGCTATAAGGACTGCACAGTTATTTTTGAAATCAGCAGGGTAAAATAATGAAAATATGTTTTATAGAATATACCACAAGTGTATAAGTTCAACTATTAATAATAATCAGTGTCTCAATCATTTATAAAAGTGTATATGATAATTCAGCTAAGAATTTATTATATTTTTCATTAACTAATGTGTGATATAACTTACAATTTGCTCTGTTGGGGTTTTGGGGTTTTGGGGTTTTGGGG